TTCTGTTTTCTTGTTTTCATGATGGGTGGTAAAATACTTTTGTTAAGAATCATACATAAGTTTGAGGGACAGTTGGTGGCATAAGTTTAGCTTTATTCATGACTGTGAAAAATAACAATTCTTGCAGTGGTTTTAAATGAATTGTACATACTTTGTTTTATTTTCCAGGACCAGAACCTGACATCCCCATTGTCATTCAAGAGTTGCCATCAGCTCCGATATATCAAGGAGACTCAGTGACTCTACAGTGTTCGGTCCTCTCTGACCTGCAGAAGAATACATGTCCAGAGGATGTGTACTGGTTCAGAGCAGGAATGGATGAAACACATCCCAGTGTGATTTACGTTTATAGAAGCAGTGGTGATGAATGTGAGAGGCAGTCTGATGTTCATTCTCCTCGAAAATGTGTCTACAAGTTCTCAAAGAACAATATCAGCTCTTCTGATTCTGGAAACTACTATTGTGCTGTGGCAACATGTGGACATGTCATTTTTGGTAATGGAGCAAAATTGAATATTAAAGGTAACAACCTTTATGTAATATATACATCTTCAGATCATTTCTAGTTTTCAGGAGGCACATTTAAGGAAATGTTTTCATAGCAATTAACCTTTCGTGTTTGATCCTTTTGTTTTTCAGACAACATTAGGTCATTTGGAGATTCTCAGGTGGTCAACACAGTTGTGTTTCTTTTGTGTGCTGCTTTGGCAATAAGTTTGATGATTATAGCCTTACTGAGTTATGTAATCAAGAACAAGAAATATAATTGTTCGAATGGTAATGAATTTCCTATTATATTTATCTATATTTAATTTTGAGTATATTATGAAATTCATTGCATCTGTACATATTATTTTTTGGGTAATTTATTCCAGCTGCTGCTGCAGTGGAAACACATTCTACCATGACCACAGGCAACCAACAACATCAGCAGGTAGGCTGTTTTAAATCTAAATTGTTGCACTGGAACATTTATGTTTTTTATATTTAATCAAGTTGTCACATTATCTCAACAGGTAACTGAAGAGCCCTTAGTTTATTCTGTGCCTAATTTTACAAAGAAGAAAGTCAGACGAAATCCAAGGAGCGGTGAAAAATCTGTTGATGGACAGAGCATCTATGCAAATGTCAGAGTTTTAGGGTATGAGTAGATACATTTACAGTTAAGGTCGTAATCAATACATTTTATGTATTGATGGCCTTTAATGAGAGAGAAATTTTGTAATAGAGAGTGTATTTTCCCAAGAGACATGAAACAGTCAACTATACATTTAGGCCTAATATTTATATTAACCTATTAACTCGATCGTATATTTGGGCCCTCTTTTGGGATTTTGTTTGTTTGTAGTTTATTGGAGTTGAAATGTCTTTTTAGTATAAAAACCACTTTTTAAAATGGTTGACTTTTTGGTATAACCAAGTATAAAATACAATAATTAATACATGCAATCGCAGCAGTGTAAGGTGGTGAAAGAGGTCCCCCTGCTTGACTCATCGATGGTCATTCCTTTCTAAAACAAATGGCCTCTTTGACTAACTAGGGTTTTTCTTACTGAGATGCTAACTAGCAGGCATTATAATTTCCATCAGTTTTTTGGGCACTTAACCTCGTACACTACATCGCTTTATTTGTGCTATAGAACCCAATCATTGGGATAAACGAGTATTTGGCAAGGTGTGTTTTGGGGTTTGAGAGTAAAATGTATTTCAGCTATACAATACTTCTGACACACAAGGATAGATGACAGATATAACTGAGGGAGAATAAATTAGTACATAAATATTTTTTTAATTTTCCAAAGCGGTTACTGATCTCTGGGATAGCCAGTGGTTATTGCTAGTACAGATCATTATGCAGCTGTACTGAATACTCCTATATGGTTGGGGAAACCTGCAGCCAGTCGAAACTAATTAAGCTTTTTGTTGTTTTTGTTAGCAGTAAACTTTATTTTGGACATGGAAAAAAACTGTTTATATAGACTTATAGAACTGATTATTTATGTTATTAACAATAGAACAATTTTATTTACGCTTGAGCTCAGCTGGAAAGTGGTTTTTTTTCTTAATTTGGTGATTTTTTTAAAGCAATAATAATGAAATAATCTTTCGTTGCTGTTGTTTGCATTTGTCAAAATACGTTTTTATTGTTACTTGAAACCTGGCACAAAAAAATTATTACGTAATGAATTAGCTAAGGGCTATTGCATTGTGTTTATCCTGATTTTTTTTAAGCTTTTGAGAATGTTTTAATAAATTTTTTCATTAGTTCACTACTTTTGTCTCTATGACTCCTTATTAACCTACTCTTGTCAGTTTGCTAGTTATGCTACATTCACACTACAAAACTGTGGAATGACCAAAATGACTGTGGCCGCCATGTGCAATTAACTTGAAGTCTCAATGCCTTTGAAATGGTTGCTTCAAAGATGGGTTCCAGGTCTGCCAGCATGTGTAGTCAGCTACTACCTTCAAAGGGATTTGTTGTATCAAGATAGAGATAAAATAGCAATAAAATGGAATTAGCTGCTGTATTCAGAAGTATCTGCATTCAGAAGATGCACATAACCATTATCAAAACACTCACTGGTTTATCAAATCTTGTTCTGAAGCTTTAACTTCAATTTTGACTATTAGTATTTTCTTGTTTTATATTTCCAGCTGTTAATCTGACTGAGAAAGTGAGGGACACGACACAATAAACTATAATAAGCAACGTGTCAATCAAAAGACAGCCCCGCTCTAAAGCAAAATGACTTACTGTTCAACATCATTCTGAAGTGGAACATAATTTAAAATAAATGACAAACAGGCTGTTCTGTTTGTCATACACTTATATAGACATTCCTACTCCTTTTTTTCTCCATTCCTCTCCTCACATCCAACCAATCATGGAGGATGGATGCCCCACCCACCTGACCTTGTTAAAAGGGAGATTTTCTCTAGCATTGCCACCAAGTGCTTTCTCATAGGTAGGGATGGGTACCGGTGTCCGGTGCCATGATGGCACCGGTTCTGACATAAACGGTAGTAACCAGACCGAAAAGCAGCGCACATTTCGGTGCTTTATTTCGGTGCTTTTTTTTCCTGAGCTGTGATACACTTCTAGCCAATCATTTTAAGTTTCCGAGGATAGTAGGCGGGTCCAGGTACGTACGTTCTTTTAGAGCAGAGCTACAGATTAAAAATGCCCAAGGCGAAGCGGTCAAAAGTCTGGCTGTACTTCACAGCAAAATATGCAAACTCAGCAGCAACAAGTGCTTTAAGCTGATACTGTGATACTGTCAAAGGAGGTAACACCTCAAATCCGATGAAACACCTGGCGACGCATAGCGTTTTTTTTAAAAGCCGAGAAATGCGCCGTATTTGATAGCTTGCTGCGAGACCTCACACCGAGCGCATCTACTGCAGGTGGGTTGGCTGTTATGCAACATCCCCCAAAAACACGAAGAGGAGAGTCCTGGCCCCTAGCCCTGCCAGTGTAGCAGAAATGATGATGGATGATGATGCAGCAGCAGCCGTTCTTTTCTGCGTGAGTAGTTTAATGTTGTTCGTGTGTAATTTACGTTGAGTAGGCTAACCACGTTATTACATTAATGCACGTAAGGTGAGCTAGCAAACATCATCATAGCTACATGCGGCTGTCTTCTTGTTTGATGGCAGATACTCCCTTCACCCTGGACAAAAAGGCTAAAATGACCAAAGAAGAAGTGGAAAACAGTTAAACATGAGAGGTTTTTGGACAAAGTTTGTGTTTTTTCCATTGTTTAAGCACTGCTTCCAGCCAAGAGTGATACCATATATGCCCCATAGCTGCAGAAAAGGCTAACATTGTTATCTTTTTACAAACAACAGCTGAACATGAGAGGTTTTCGGACCAATTTTGTGTTCTCCATTCTTTAAGCACCGGTTTGAGCACCGTTTGAGCACCGGCACCGTTTCAAAAGTACCGATTTGGCACCGGTATCGGATAAAACCTAAACGATACCCATCCCTACTCATAGGTGATTGCCTGGTCTTTGGTGTTTTCTCTGTATTACTGTCAGGCCTTTAATGTAAAGCAACTTGAGGCAACTGTTTTGATTTGACACTATGTTAATAGAACTGAATGGAAATTGAACTGCTGTGAGGCAGACTTCCTTCAGTAAGAAAACCGTAAGAGAAAAAAAAAGTATTCTACAGCGTTAACACTTGTGGACTGGAGAAAGCTGTTAAACTATAGTCCTCAAAACAAGTGATACAGAGACTGTAAAGTTTCGGTTTACTTACAGATGCTGTATGTGTTAAGAAGGCACATTTGGTTCAACCACAGGACTAACAGTGGAGAACGCATGCAATTTTTTTTCATAAAAGGCTACTATGATCAGTACATGGGTGGGTATTTCCCTATTTCTCAGGAAATCAAAAATGAAAATCAAACGTGATACAAGTTAAAAAGAGTAACAAAACTTTACAGAACAATTGTGTAAAACCCAGTGCTCCAGAAAAAAATGATGCACTGATTTACAGTTACAAATAATGTATATGTATATAAAAATTAAATACCTTAATACCTTTTATTGATTTTCATCAGATGCAACAAGCAAGTCATTTTAGAGTTGATATTTGAAAACAGTTAATACAGCAAATGACCTCTACCTTTTGCACAGAAGCGCTATTTAAATTGTGAATGTGAGCATACTGAGCCTTTAGCCTTATAAAGGCAACAAATTCATTACTTTATTTATCTGTAAATTTCTGCAGGATCACAACTCCTCAGAACTGTTGACTAAATATTTTACCTGTCACCTCAGCTTTTTCACTTAAGCTATATTCTCTGTTTACATAATTATTATTATGCCATATATTTATGAACATATTAGATTATTAAAATATTTATGCTGAAGTTTGACCTGTTTGAGCAAACCACAAAAACCTCCAAAGGCATGTTGCACAATGCAGGAAATGAAAGCAGCTACCAAGTGGCTTCTTTTGACAGTCGGGACTATCACATCAATCTTGCATCACTCACTTAAAAACCAAAGCCCACATCACAAAAAGCATCAAGATGTTGCATTTATGGATTATACTGACTCTGCTTCGTCAAGGATGTAAGTGCAATCTACCTATGTCCCATTTTAGCGTTTTGTGGAGGTTTTACCCATTTGTCATTTTTTTGTATTAAAATAATTCAATTTGCCTTCCAGTTGCAAGTAATGCACTTACGCTTTGCCTCTGGATATGCTGTTTCATAAGATTGATGATGTATATGCATGTACAGATTTTTTTCTTCTATTTTTCTTTCCCAAATCTACAATATTATGATTCTTATCTAATTGCATTTATATAATCTACATATCTGTTGTGCTTTCCTACAGCTGCTCTACTCTCAGTGACTAAATGTCAACTTGGCAACTCAGTGACCTTCACATGTTGGTTCCCTGATTTGGAGTATAGTAACACACGAGTCAAGTGGTACAAACAGAACATTGGTGGCAGCCTTAAACTAATTACAACGTTGATGAAAGCTACTGAAAAGCCAACATTTGAACGAGGCTTTCCTCAGTCACGATTTGATGCAAACAGCACACAAGTAATGAGCATGCTGACCATTTTTTCGACTGTCCGAGAAGATGAAGCACTCTATCATTGTGCAGCCTCCACCTGGAGTAAAGATCATTGGAATGCAACCTACTTGTCTCTGAATGGTAATGATGTCTTTTCATTGTTTTGGTTTTGTTTTAACCTTCATTACATTCTTTATATGCGTTAACCCTTTGCAGCCCTTTTTCAAGTTCCATATTATTATCATTTTTTATAGAAAACACTCAGTCAAACTACACTGTTGTTCAGTTGCCAGCAGGAAGTGATCCAGTTCAGCCAGGAGACTCAGTGACTCTCCAGTGTTCGGTCATCTCTAGTTCTGGCAACAGTTCTTGTCCTGATGAACACAGTGTCCACTGGTTTGGTGCTGGATCAGATAAATCTTTGGCGAACATCATTTACACTGATGGTAAAGGATCCGATGAATGTAACAAGAAACCTGAGTCAACCTCGTCTTCAAAAAGCTGTGTGTATCGACTCTCTAAGAACATCACCTCCTCAGATACTGAGACTTATTATTGTGCTCTGGTCATTTGTGGGGAAGTTATTTTTGGGAATGGAACAAAACTCAATATTAGAGGTGAGTTTGACACATGCTGATGATACTGTTGCTCTTAATTAGAAGTTAAAAAAAATGTGATTAATTTTTTTTTTCTTCTGTCAGAAACCGGCTTGGGGACCTTTGGTGGTTTATTGAAAGACAATACAATTCTTCTGCTGCTGTGTGCTGTGTTGGTCATAAGTGTGATGGCAATTGGTATTCTTATTTATATCATCAAGCATAACAAGTGTGACTGCAATGGTAATATTACTTATGTCATATATCACAATTACTGTCACAAATGCTAATTTAATATTAATTTTTATAAATTTATTTTTATTCTTTTCTAGCTTCTAATTCCCTGCAAGAAAGTATTGAAAAACGAAACGTGAAGGTAAGGTAAACTCATCAAAAATAAGTAATTATTCTTTGTTATAACACTGACCGTTTCATTTCCCCCCACATTTCTCCAGAGAGAAAAGGACACATGCATTTACTCTGCTGTCATATTTACAACGATAAAAACTGACAGTGCTAGAAAAAGAAATACAAAAGCACTGGAGCGAGAAAGGATCTATGCAGCCGTCAAGGCTTTTGGAATGGATTAACCGACACTGGAAGTAATTGCCATCAGCTAATTATTAATGTTTTAGGTAAATGTTCTTATGAATGTGGCTCGACTCATCATTGCCCTTGATGCATCCATCACTCCATGTTTGTGTTTTGTAATATACAAAGTCACTGCATCCAGAAAATAATGTAATTGTGAACCCACTTATAAATCTTGATTCATTATTTTGATGGTTTTTTGAAACTTGTAATTGAGGTTTGTGACCACTAACCAAAAGACATTCATTTAGGATGAATGACAGTCATAGTCGACGATGAACAATCCACTGGGTACTACCCGTTGTAACAGACCGGTTGCAAGTGCCTTCTGAGGGTTGATGGCAGTTTGTGGTAAAATAATTCCCATTTGTGCTCACAGTAAAAATTGAGATTTTGCAACATGTTGGCTGCAGCTCTGAGGCAAAACCTTTACATTGAGAGGTGAAACTTCTCCATTTACAGTATGTATCACACTTTTTCAAGTTTTTCTGTCACTTGGCTAGTAGCTAGCAAGTGTTTGCAGATAAATGGAAAAAACTAGAGACAACTGTGCTAGGAACCAAAGCAATCATAACGAGGTTTTTTGTTGCAGCACTTTGTCTTTCTTCATCTGTTCTCATTCTGATACTTTTTGTCACATTTATTTTGCCTAGAAATCATCTGACTTACAAGTGGCAAATTTAACATGTAATTAAAGTCCCAGTTTGGTATTTTGGTTGTTTTTATTGTTAATTGTACAAAACCAAGTTATGTTGCTGATTCATCAGGCTGAACAGGAAAATGTACCAAATGAAACGAAACTTACAGGTCTCTTGCATCATCTGGCTGCTATAAGAACATTAAACTACACATAGGAAGCTTTGATAGTATGTGTGTAGGTAAAATAAAGGTTAAAAGTTAATGTCACTTTTTCCAAATTGTTTTTGATAAGGTTGTACTAATGTTATATTTGGCCAGAAGTGTGAGGTGTGAATTTTAATTAACTCTAATATAGTATATTACGGGTCAGGAGCATTACAGCCTGTAGATGGCACTAAAAGGACTATAACCATGTAACATCATAAAACACAAAAACAGCTCACCCAAAATATGACGAAGCAGCCGCAGCCATCAGTTGTTGATATGCACATTAATGCTTGCTACATGACAGACCTCAATCACTTCATTGATCGTCCACAGTTACACAAAAAAATGCAATACTGATATAGTACTGAGTTGCTGAGTGAAATGATGTTATTACTTCTGCTGTAGTGTAAGGTCAAGTTGTATTTAGCCATTTATAGGAATGCATTTTAGGTTGTACAATTAATTTTACAAAAGCCACTTTATTATAAGCTAACACAGCATTAACAGCATAAAAATGTGTAATGTAATGTTTTCAACAACTCACATGCTGAAATTTGTCGTAGGATTAACTTCAAATATAATAAACATTAACAACCAAATATTTGATTAAAAATAACCACCATAAAGAAATATAGGCTGTCTTTTCCTTGCAAATCCTGCTCTGCCTACTAAGATGTTTGAGACAATGCGTGATTATATGGTCTCACAGCAGAGTACACACACTCCTGTGGTGACTCTTTCATCTTGTTCTTCTTCACTCGATTTCTTGAGGAGAAATTCAGTGCTACATAGTTTACTGCGTCTGACTCACCATCCTGTGAATAACAATTATGTAGTTTTTATTTTAGTAAAACAAAACAAAAACAAGGCTTCTGTCAACATACTTGTCAGCCTGGCTGAAGAAAACATTTACATTGACTATGGCAGATAAAATTAACTAAATATGATGCAGTGATTATTATGAGACGACATATGATTGAAGAAAGGAGAAAAAAATTATTGCGCTTTAGCTAAGGCCTCCATCACTCAGCCTGAGAGACCAGTCAGCGAACCTAAGGCAAACTTCGATCACTAGGGTACTTCCCCGACTGTTCAGCGAGGTAAAAGTGGTGTCAAAGCTAGTGCCTCACCACAAACCTCCTTGTGATTGCTTTGGTTGCCATCTTTGGTTACTTACTAAATTACTGCCTTATTGTTGCAGTCAACGTGCTTTAGAAAGCGCAACTTTCATGCAAATTGTGTGCTGACCAAAGCAATAGAGATTGAAAATTTGACGTCATTCAGGGGTAAAACCGCAAAGGATTCTGGGAACTCGTGGCAAGAGGTACTAGCGCACGCAGGCTTTCAATTGAAATTACATTACACAGCGATACAAAGAAACATAAAAAATGGCAAGAAGCTGTTGTATTATTAACTGCAATAGCCGGTCGCATGACAGCCACGGGAAGCCGACGGGTAAAGAGATCGGTTGTTATCGGATTACGTCGTTGAAGAGAAATTGTTCGAGCCATGTTTCCGAAGTAACAAAGATGCGACGGATGGCCTGGATTGCAGCCATTCAAAGACCAAATATAACGTCCCAGAACACTCCAGCTCACATGTTAGTCTGCTCCAAGCATTCCCACAAAGGTCAGAGTTTTGTAGTAGTTAATACGTCATTTTTCTTAACATAATTGGTGATATAGGTTACAAGCAAGTCTGGCGCTGAACACAAATGGTCGCTCTTTTGTTTATTGTGCATAAATAGTGAATTGTCCTGACACAATATTGTGTTTCGCTTCTGTTATTATGGTACATTGACAAAAACATATACTTTTATTCACAGGATAAAACAGGTTTTTGTATCACTAATTGCCCAGTACGATTACAGCATACAGTATTATTGTCGCTGCTACATTTCTGTATTATTTATTATTAGAAATTATTTCCACTACTAATTAATTAGCTTAAGCTTGAGCTTAAAGGTCCTATTAATAAACGGTTAACGAATGTGTAGTTATGAAGATGATTTGTGAGACTGGTAAACTTATGATACGTACGATGGTCTTTCGTTCTACACGGTGCATTTCAAGGTCCTGTACCCATCCGTCGGTAAACTGTACCTGGGCTTGTTGCAGTGACCTGAAGTTACTAAACTTCATGAGTGTATGCACTCACGCCAAGAACCGTATAATTATAAATATGAGCGTGGTGAAAGTTGGGCAGCACGCTAACGTCTTTTGTCCACTCTGTGTGCTCGTACGGGTCTAAACCTTTCACTTGTTTGATTTTTTTGCTCGTATCTTTTCTTTGACTTTTCATTAAGTCTGTCTTTGTACGGACCGACATTGTTCTCCTTTGTTTTGTACATAACTTTTTTGGGGGACAAAGAAAAAGCAAGAAGGTATTGGAACCGGAGAATGAACGTTTTGCGGTGCTGCAAATGCTTGCATTTGAGGCGGTACTTGGATTGTTTTGCCACGAGTTCCCGGCATGCAATGCGCGAGTATCACGTGGTCTGTCAATCTCTATTGCAAGGAGGTTTTCTTTGTGACCAGTTTCACCTCGTGTTTGGCAACAACTTCCGGCAATGACTCACAAATCAGACAGGGAATATACATTTTCCCTAGCAACCAGTGGTTTGCCACAGGGTCACCAACTGGTTTTAGGTCTATGTATCTGGGGCTCAAGTCAATGCTGCCATATTAAAATTCAGAGACAAAATGTTGAATTGTAATGTGCGAAAAAGTAGAATATTTACCACGACATTTAAATGGTCCAAAGTTGACAAGTTATTTTCTGAAATGTGAGAAGGATTCTTTGTCCCTGCTGAGAAAACCAAAAAGATTCAGAAAGTCAAAGTTGGGAATATGATTTGTGTTCCTTTTGTAATATGTCATCCTTATGTTAACAATAAATCTAATTTCAAGTACAGACACCTGAACTTGCATTTAGAGGTGAAGTATCTAGTTAAATATGGAACTGAAATAAAAGTTGTACTTATTGTGTGTTCAGTAAAATCACATTTCATACAAGGCAGACAACCAGAGTGCTACACATTAAAATGTATAGCCAAAGTAAAAATGACACTAAAATCCAATCAAATAAGGCACATTGTCTACACAGCATTCAAAGACAGTATATAAGATCAGATAAAATCATATACTGTAAGGTTAAAATAGCAATAGAATAAAAGCAGACCTAAAAATCCAGTAATCTAAAAAGATGTCACAATGCAAAGGACAACAAATTTGTTTTTAATAAATATTAATTTAAATGTGCATGACATCTAAGCTGTGTGCACATGGAGACATAGATTATTCAGCGTGGGCAGATTAATTTCAGATACTCAATATACCAAGAATTACCTAAAGAAGTGTCTCCAGGTTTGATGCTGTTATATATAATAAAGTAGAAGTGATCACATTGAAATTAAAATTGTCAATTGAATATAATAATACCATTGCTATAAGTACAATAGACTGCTTTCTAATCTACATTCACTGGCAGCAAACTCAAACCACATATAAAAGTATATTCATGCATTTTCTGTAACACTAGCTGAACTGTAAATACTTGTTACAACACGATGCATGCAAGTTTTTTGTGTTTTACTGCATGGCTACAGTCAGTAGTTAATCTTATAGCTCACTAGGCTGCAAAAGAAAAGAAAAAGGTTAAGGATATCTTAACTGGTCCCCATTTACCAGTTCTCTGTATTTAGTCCGCGGTATGCATGAGGACAAACTTTCCAACAGCGTAAATCATTCAAATTCCAAGGTTAAAATGCATCTGGTTCCAAAAATTGAAGGAAAATTCATACAAAACACCATGGAAACATTTTTAGTTACTCAAGTAATGTAATGAAATGCACGTACCTTTGCCATTTTTAAACCCTCTCTGACTTTTGCAGAATACAAAGATGATATTCACAGTCACACTAAAGGCCAATAACACACCTAGTGCAAGGACAACCGGGTCAAGTTTTGCTTCTGGAAAAGACACACATGATATTTATGATTATTCACGCCAGATTTGAAGAAATCATAACATAAAACTTGCTGAAAAATGTTCAGTAGTGAACCCCAAAATACTTTTCACATCAAAGTCAAAGTAAACTTTCTTGTTATCTCTGCAACATACAGAACAGTATATAGAGAGATGAGACGACGAGGATCCAGTTCCATTCAGTGCAAAGGAGAGCAATAAGAGCAATAAGAAGAGTAATAAAGAAAGAAATATACACTTTAAGACTGAGCCAAAGGTAAAAACATAAAAAATAGATATTTTTGGCTGCAAAACAATTTTTTGAGAACATTTTATTGAGTGAGTATTACAAATAGGAAATGATTTATTCTTTATAAAATGTTTAAATACATGATGCAGTAGTTATTTACCAGCCAAAGAGACTAGAACAGCTAATAAAAATGCAGCCAATGATGATATATTTTATCACACTAGAGTTGGCCTGGTATATGTCCATATTGCTGATATATAAGAAGTTTAATGCATTTATATTTCCCTTGAAAACATTTAAGATCTACCCAGTTATTGACTAAAATGTCATGATTTTAAGAGATTTAAGATCTGACATTAAAACATACTTGTCTCCACTTGAGTTCCTTCACCAAACACGATCTCTCCACATGTGACCACTGCACAGTAGTAGATCCCAGCATCAGAGGAGTTCTGAATAGTTTTGGACAGACTGTGGACACAACGCCGTCCCTCTTGTTTTTGACTGTAGTTTCTGTGAGTGTAAATAATCGTGGCGTGGGATTGTCCTGATCCTGCTCTGAACCAGTACACTCTGTGTTCATCTGGGCACTCGCTTCTGTTCTCGTTGTTATTGGAGAAAAGTGAACACTGGAGAGTCACGGAGCTGCCTGGGTGGACTGACACTGCCTCCGGAGTTTGTTTCACGTAAACTGATTTCTGCTCACTGTGACCTGGGTTGTTTAGTAAAAAGCAGTGATAATGGAATTAAAATATTTAAAAATATAATACCAGGTTTCCTCAAAGCATTTGTGATTACTAAGTGAGGTAGAAAGAAATGAACATATCACATAGTTTACCATTTACAGCCAAGTAGACGCTTGTATTAAAGGTCTGTGAATAAGCTGATCCATACTGACAGAAATATGTTGCTTCATCCTCTTTTTGGACATTTCTCATGGAAAGAAAATACAGAGTCTGCCCCTCTGATACTGAGAAACGACCGTTGTTAAATTCTTCACTCAGTGTTTGTTTTGTGTAAGATCCTGTAGCAACTGTCTGGATCATATATCCTGGGGATTGCTTAAACCAGTGAACAAATTTGCCGTCCTTCTCTGTAACCGGACACTGCAAAGTAACATTTTTACCAACTTCAACTTCAATCAAAGGGATCTGGTGGGCAGCCTCTGTGCTTTGAATCAGAGCTGAAGAAACAAGACAAAAAGAGACAAAACCAGTAAACATTACAAATCTTCCCTCTTAAATACTATTGTCTTTACATTATACTGCACCTGTTAAAATCTGTGTAAACAACACTAGATCATCTTGTACTTACCTATTGTAGTAAAAAGAATCAAAGCAGTCTGTACTCCAATCATTGTGGTGAAACACGCTTGTGTTGCACGGTTGGTGCCTTCCTACCCAAATGAAGGTTTACTCACAAGATCATCAAAGTGTACAAAGTGGAAATCATCATGATTGGCTGAAACACAGAAAATGCACTCCTCCAAGGTTCAGCAAATCCATGATCCATTTTGAGTTACTCTTAGACGCATATGTACCATTAGCTAGTGTTTTCTTTTATTTTGTCAGTTGTGACATGATAAGGTTGCAACTTAGATTTTGTTTATTGTGACAGTGATCATCATAATGTTGTTTAACCCTGACTGCAACATTTTCAGTAGTGCTGTGCAATACTGCATATTTTGGTAATGATCTGATACCAAGTAAACATAAAGCCGGTATTTTTGATACAAATACTGGTACCAATACTTTAAACCTATAAAGGCAGTTTATGAAGGGGAGAGCAGTGTGTCATGATTCATGAGTTAAATTATCATCAAATTCTGAACAGATTTTAACAACCACTAAATAACAGTGATTTTTACTTTCCAGCAGCCCGATCTGGCGGGGAGGTGTGGGAAGCCAGATCGGGCGCCCCCTTTCCGGCTCTCCTCTCTGCTCTCTCCTATCTAGTCCCTTTTGTCTTACTTCTCTCTGTCACCTTTTCTATCCCTTTGAAGAAGTGAGGCTCCATAAATGCTAAAGGGGTAAGTATTAATTCTCAGTTGCAGTGAATAGATAGGAGAAAATAAACTGTAGAAAACTAAACAGAAGAAAGACTGAGGGAAATAACACATTCACATAAACCAGTGACACCATCCAGGGCCTGATCAACCCTGGCAGGGCCTCCTTGGGTGAGAGCGTCTAGTGATAATGGCTGAAACACCCGATGAATCCAAGGTCCACTACTGACGATGTGTCCCAAATGTTAATATGATAATCTAGATCAGATCTAATTTCCCCCCAAAGAATGGCAGATTAGCTTGGGTAAAAGAGCGAAAGTTGAGGCACACAACAATGTGTTCTGCTCGTAAAGTTTCTGGGCTTCCTTTCCTCATAACAGCCATCCCTAAAGATTCTCGCCATTTCAAGCAATGCATTATCAGGGACTGCAACATCTGGTCCTTTTACTGAATCAGTGATTTTTACTTTCCGGAATAATTCGTTAACACAACAAAACACACCACAAAACATGTATTTTGACACTGGCTTTTAGGAAATCTAATGTAAACCTGCCTGTTTTTAAACTACTTTCAGTCAACTTTTGTTGTTAAAATGTGCTGTCGGGCTATAAATGTCTGAACACAAGAGTTCTAACATTTTCCATAGCTTAAGGCATTTGTTTTTGTCATTTCCAAAGAGATCATTAATTTAACACAATTCAGTGGACTGCATCATGAACTTAGAGGATAAAAACAAAGTACTGATCCTATACCAGTACCATGAATGGATCAGTATTCAATATTTAGACTGATCCTCCCACCTCTAATTCTCTACTTCTATTTTTCAGTTTTCACTGAAACACTAATGTTCTTATTTATAAACCCAAACATTATGGCTAACAGCTGGATTTCCCCGTTTGAGTGGAGCTAGCCAAACAGCGAAAAGCCAATTACTGCTAAAGAGACAGAGAGTGACAGTGAACAGTATGCCCCTGGTTTTAACATAAAACTTATTGTTGCAGCCAAAGACAACATAAAAGTGATCTCCTTAAACTGATGATTTGTTTTAGTGTCCTTATTTTTCTTTGAGTTATTGATCCTGTCACTATAAGGTATCAGACAAAAAAACTGTCAGGTCTCAGTTGTCAGGAAAAAAGTTGTCAGGTATCAGACAAAAAAGTTGTCAGGTCTCAGTTCTCAAGAAAAAACATTGGACATTGGAATGCCCAGTGCAGTAGCAAATCACTCGTGCTTCACTGCACAAGCTGGACCCAAAGAGTCGGCTAAGGTTTGTCACTGCCATATTACATATGATATTTATATAAACCCATTTAGAGTGAGGTCCATGTAAATTTACCATTCTCTATTTGTTTATCTTCTGACAGCGTAAGATTACAAGTGTGCTCCAAAGCTTCCTTTGCCTGTTAGACGTGGGAAAGCTGCAGACCGTCAGGGAGTGTACGCTCCATCAAGCCCACAGAATAGAGCCGGACTGGAATTTGTCAGTTCATGAACTGATGGCATTCATTTAAATCCTGTTTGTAAGAGCAATCATGTGTCCTGTTGGTGCCATTGTGGACTGCTGGTCAGAAAGATTTCTGGTGCCAGTAATCAAAGGGACAATGCCCCAAGATAGATTCATTTCAATTATGCCACACCTTCGATTTGATGACAAGGACACACGGGCAGAACGGGTGAAAACAGATAAATTTGCGGTGATCTCCGACATCTGGACACGCTTCAACAAGAACTGTGCTAAGAGTTTCACTCCAGGAGAACACATGACCATAGATGAACAGCTGTTCCCTACCAAGGTTCGTTGTCCATTCACACAGTATATCGCAACCAAGCCAGACAAATTTGGGATGAAGAACGTGGTCATGAAACTGATGGAGCCGTTTTTGGATGATGGGAGAAACGTCACAACAGACAATTTCTTTACTTCACTGTCACTGTCGCACAGACTGCTGCAGCGCAAAACGCCGTTATGGGGCACGGTGAATAAAGTCTGGCGTGAACTTACTCAACTTGTGCGGATGTATTCCATAAGAGCAGCAACACACAGGTGGTCAGTAGCGGTTTTCTACAATATGCTGGACCTGGCGGCGGTGAATGCCTACATTTTGTACAAGGCATGTACAGGGTGGACAGGCAAAAGAAGATTGTTTCTGAGTCTTCTAGCTCAGGAACTTCGTTGCCGATTCATGTAGCACAAGGAAATATTAGCACAGACGCAGGCTGCTGCAGCTGCTGTGCCAGGGACTGTAAAGACAACGCAGTGCCAGTGGAATTTACGTAAATTTGCACAGGGCTAGTAAATCTAGTAGTAGGGACTCGCACCAGGGAAAAAAAGGCTCAGTAATTCTAGTGTTAAGGTGTGAAACAGCTGTGTCCTGCCTTTTGTTCCTGGAGAAGGTTTTTAACTGAGAGCCATGCTGGGCTCAGGGAGACTCTGCTGACCGTCTGTCCCGTGGCCATGCAGGGACTTCATCAAGCTTGGTTGTCTGTTCTTTGTGTGTTTGATTAAAGAATGTTAGCTACCGCTCGTCTGCAGGCTTTATTTAAATGGAAAACGTCCACAACAGGCAAAAAAAAGCTTTTTGCTAAAAAAAAAAGATTTAGAGCAGAAGTTTTTTGCACTGCATTTTAAAATGAAAACATATTGCATTTATTTACAAGTAAAGACACACAGAGCAGTGTGTCTTTACTTGTGTTAAGTGTGTTACTGTTTTACATCCACAGACACACAAGAAAAGAAGCAGGCAACATGAGGTCAAGTTATGGCAATTTTATTTGTGTGTTTCAGTACATGTATTTAGATTAGAGTTTTTAAAAAACAAACAAACGTCCCAAGAAGAAGGATGGGGTGAAAGAAAGGTGGAGAGAGGAGGAAGAAACTATTGATGTCCTCAAACGCGATGCTGCTGGGTCAGTTCTTTCTCAGCAGTCTGCTCCAGAATCCCCTCCTGTCCTCGGCTTTCTTTTCTTTTGCCTTCAGTTCTTTTAAGGTTTTGTTGAGCTGCTCCTCGGCATCTTTAAATTTTTAACTGCAAAATGACCTGATGAAAACAGTACAAAGGTTAAAGTACCACATGTGCTGTAGTGAAAGCTGCAGCTGTTTTATTGATACAGTTAAAGACAAAAAAACAAAAGGATTAATCACCCATGTAACTGTGTCACTGTATATCAGCATTAACAGGACCTCAGTTTGTATCTCAGACCTGCACAGCTTCCGTTTTAAACACTTGATGTACTCAGCTGCATAAAGAGCACATTTGAGTTTCTCTAACACAATTAAATAAAACCTGATGAAGGTCAAAGGTCACAGTTTTCACAGTTTTTTGCAGATAATGTGTCATTTACCATAAAGTGATGCAGAGTTATTCATACCAGAGTAACCAGAGAGGATCATATATTTTTAAATATATAACTTTCTACAGGACTGAATATAATATCTTTATGTAAAAGTCCGGAGCCTCTGGGGAGTATCTGAGTATTTATAACATTACACAAACCAAAGGTCTCCATCACAGTGTTCATGAAATGCTGGGTTTATCCATCTCCTGGGGCGAGTGCTGAAGATTTCCCTGTGAGGAAGCTGCTGGTGAAGATCATGAGTCCTGTTTGATCAATGCGATGAGCTTCAGTCTTCCTGGTGTTTCTTAAATGATGCCTCTTTCAGCGGGTCAACAGAACTTCTGGCACAGGACAGCTGTGATGAAAGAAAGGGAAGAAGTTTCTCCAAACCTCTGGACCCAGAAACCCAGCTTGGTCCTCCCTCACTAGTTTCTCTCCAGGGTGAATGTAGCTGTTATACATAATATGGATTATTATTAAATGAAAAGAACAAATTAGACTACACTACTGAAACCTTCTGCTGCTGTTTTTAAAGTTTCCATGTTACCAGGCTAAGAAGATTTAAACAGTTTTAGATCCATTACACTCACAGTCTTAAATGTCAAAATCTCGAAGGACAGCATTATATTTTTGATATTAACAGTAACTCTGGGCTTCTGTGGAGTGTGTAGCCGATCTCATCGCTGTCTAAAAATGGATAAAAAACAGAACAAAAGAAGTGCTGAATCCTTCAATAACACAGACTATTAGAGTAGCAGCTGTCTGTGTGAAGCACTTGCTGCAGGGTTGCGCCATGAATGTATTCAGCTGCCAACAAAAAGGAGGACTCAGTGCGGGCAACTGCCATGAGTCTGACCATGTTGGGGTGAGACAGTCTCCTAATAAAACAGAAACATCTCCGAATAAAAAACAAAATATCACATTTCACCACTGTCGCTAGCTAGAATGAATTAGCCAGACAAAAATAGTACTGATTTGGTTTCGTACAAAACTAGCTTTCCTTCTCTAATATGTAA